CAATATTTAATCACGATTTTCGTCTATTATTATTAATCTCCTCTGTTCTTCATAGCTATTTTACCTGCACGTGAAAAGAGTGAAGTATTTTTTGCAGGATTGCAAATATGAGATGCAAGAATAAAATTTAATTAAACTCCATTTATCTGCAATTTCCTTTTGCGAGTGACAATCAAATAGAATATGATCTTGAAGCAAATGTAATAATACTGATTATAATCACAAATTCCTCTGCTTTCTGTCAAAAATATTGTTTGATGATTTTATGAAGTGACATTTGATTAAATACGTGTTCCGCATTACGCACAAGCACAGCTTTTATCGTATTTTGTGCAACCGTTTTTCAGTTTACTTTACTTTTAATGCCATTATACGTACGGTGAATAATAATAGCAAAATAAGTGAATCGAAATTGAAGAAGTTGAACGAGATGAAAAAATAATTACTTATATGGCAAATGTCAGCGTCCCGTTGATAACTAGTGGAATTTCGTTACTTGAACGTTTGTAGGAAATGACGAGCGCGTGTGTAAACTAGTTTTATGCAATGAGCATACACGTAGGCGTACATACATACATACATAGATAACTTATACGAATGCGATGCGATACAGACATACATTTAAACACTGTCGACGTACACTAACATTTACAATATACTTTACAAGCTATTACAAGTAGGTACATATATGCGCGCGCGCGCTCACACACGCACACGTATATAATATATGTATATATATTTTCCAGATCTAGAAAGACCCATCCTGGTGCTGTAGTACACTTGAGTGATAATCCTTTAGATTTGAGCAAGGTACGCGTGTTTTTGAGTACGTTTTATTTTGCATTATTCTCCATCCTTACCACATGACGTCATACATACCTTACATATATATATATATTTTTTTCTTTTCTTTTAATACATATATTAACGTCGTGCTATATGCGAGATTACGTGATCATCGATGTTCAGGATTCTCAGGATTCATTCTAACATCTCTTCTGAAAACCTATCGCAAGGTGTTTATGGCAACGGAGAAAAAAAAAGATGTCTCAGAAGTGTGTGCTTGCATGTTGTGTGTGTGCATGCGTGCATGCTATATAATTGTCGTACATGTACATAAAAGGATTTAACAGAAACTATTTATTTCCAATACAAAGGAGAACGCATCGTTTGATTTGTTACTAATACATACATATACGTTACACGGATGGAAAAGTAATGGGGTCATTGTCAAATGTTAAAATAGTTGTAATAAAAAATCGAGTTCTTCAATTTTCTCGTACAGATTTATGTAGATTTTGTTACACGTTCCTTTGCCGACCATTTACGATGCATAAAAAATATATTTTACTGTCTATGAAAAATTTCACCTCCCTCTGCCTCGGTTGTTAACAAATTGCAATCCCCATTACTGTTTCGTCGTCTCGACAGGAGCATAGTGACGGTGCGTCAGAACTTATTAACAGCTTAATTAAAAAAAATGTTATCTTGCAATCATAATCACTCATCTTTTTATACATTCTACACAAACTCGTCATTAATATATGTGTATAAAGTTATTATCGATGTCAGTTTAATATGTGTATGTAAAGTACGTGTCACGTGCCTTAGGCCGGTCCTTGTATTTTGGTGTTGGAATTCGGGCCACGGGATTGTTTTCGATTTAATGAAATGTGTTGGTAACCACCGAATTCAATTTTATACTAACTCTCCACACTTGAGAAGCATTGCTATGTATACGTACATCCTCTCACCAACCCAACTGCTTCTATTCTCATTTTCTGAATACTTCCAACGCTGCGCAATTAAAGTAAATAAAATATCTGACACGAACTGCGAACGTATCCTCCTCGTGCAGATCTCTTTAATAAAACAAGATAAATTTTACTACTACTAAACCGTGTACATATCTGTTGTTTTCTCATTATTTTATTATACATTACCACTACATCTCTCGACACCAATTTTTTTTTTTATTGAGGCAAGAGATGCTATAATTCTTTACACTTGCAAATGAATTTAATAGTAATCCTGAAATACTTGTATTGATTATATTCTTTGTGTAAATAAATAATATATAACATTGGTTGACGAAAGTATTCGAGCGTTTATTACGAAAACCTTATATACTATACAAAAGTTTACGTTAGTAAATAGGAGATAGATATCACTTATGTGTTTTTAAATACTTAAAGCGAAATATCGAATATTTCACATAAATATAGTTTCAATCCGTTTGTTAGTTAAGCCCTTATGGAAAAATGATAGAAAATTTACACATTATTATGTTATTTGTGTTTGACAACAGTTAAGCGTTTCTATTTAAATATTCCACCCTGTATAAATACTTTAACGTACCTATGGTAAGTGTATAGTATTTCACGAGTATCCTATTTATTTACGTTTCTTAGCGAGTATAAAGATACATGTATGCAAATATTTTAAACAATCTATTAGATTTTATATACATAGCACTAAATATGAAAATGAAAACATGAAAGTGTCGATGCAGAAGTTAGTATACTTAATGTACGTTTATTAATCAGTATTTAAATATGAAATATTGTAAAACGCCAATAGTTACTCTGGCCGTTACATAGTAATTTATTTATAACAATCGTCTACACATAATACGTGTTGGAATACTTTCGCGAAAATTATTTTATGCTATTATTTTTCAATATCGATTTGCTTGGCGTCGAGAACCTTCGTACGAAAATAGATTTACTCTACGTATTCACTTTTATGTAAAATCTCCTATTTTATCTATAATCCTATAAATTATAGATAGATTCATGCATTTTTAATCCGAATACAGTAATATTGTTTAAGAATTCCTCTCTTAAATTCTCTGCGCGTACGCGTTGTCATATGTACATTTCAAAATCGCGCGTGCACTTGTGTACATAAATAATAAATCTCCGCGTGCAGTATTAAACGATGTAGGAATGTATTTTCCGTTCGTTTTAGTTACCGTCGTTATTAAAATAATTGTATTGGGAAAACTGATGAATTCGATCACGGTTTTATTAAACGATTTAACATTTGATTCGTATTTATGTAATTAATCCGTTTTGCATCTCTGAATAAGCATACATTGAGATTTCTAATTCAATCGCTTCTTAGGCAAAAGAAATTGATAAATCATAGAAGAGTCGATTTATTCAGAAGTCACATAGTCATGCCCAATTATTATTGTACAAGCTATCATGAAATGCGTAGATAAACGATACGGAAGCATCTGCAGTAACATTTATCGAGCATATATAATTATATCAGACATCTACGAACCGTTCATGTTACGATTCATAATTATCTACAATCTCGTTACACGGTCCCAAAGAGTTAGTCGCAGTACTTGAAATAATTTGAAAAAAAAATCAATTTTATGACCCATCTTGCACCTACATTCTCATATATATAATATATATATCTATATATATATTTGTTTCTGTTGTATGTACGTAATTTGTATTATAAAACTATATATCAGTGTATTTACAGAGTTACGTTTTATTATTAAAAATATTCACATGTAACACACATTCTTCTTAGAATAGCTGTTTACAGTTTGAACGTTCCTCTTGCTCGGTGTACGTTTTTACCACGCTTTCAACCTCTGTTTCCAGATGCTGATAGGATACGAGTCTGGCCAGATGGTTTTCTGGGATTTAAAATTGAAGAATGCCGATTACAGATGCCAAACCGATGTACCGTTGAAATCAGTATCGTGGCATCACGAGGGGAAACAATTTATGTCTAGTCACACCGATGGCTCTCTAATAACTTGGACGGTGCGCCAAGTGAAGCCGGCAAATGTCACGCATCCGCACGGTAAGGAGTATCCTTCGATCTCTGATTTAATTTACATAATGCAAGAATGCTCGACTACGACCGGCATTGCACTATCATTCGATAGTCTATCATAGTTCATTCATACGTGATATCTAAATTTAATGTAAAAAGGATACCGAAGTAATTTGTATTTGAATTTGAACGCATGTCTTTATATTCACGTGTCTTTTATAGCGAAAACGACTAAAGATGGTGAGCCGGAACCTTGTAAACCGATACAAAAGGTTGAATGGAAGCTCTCGAGATCAGGGTGAGACATAATTTAAACTGCACCCTTAAAATATTAATCCAGATGATCATACATTTTTATTGCCACTTTATTACGAAAAATCTAATTAACATGATTGTTAAAAATGTTAAATTCGTTCAGCGATCTCCGAGAATATTTATAAATCCCTTAATTAGAACGTAAATTTAAAATTCTAATTTGATGGAGATCTGTATTTAAAGTCGTTATCGTATTTCATGTTTAAACGTGGTCCTTAATTTAGGGAGGCGTACATTATATTTTCCGGTGGTCTGGCGTGCGATACAACTGGACGAACTCCAAGCATAACGGTGATACATGGGAAGACCACCACTGTGTTGGAGATGGAGCACAATGTGATAGATTTCATAACACTATGCGAAAGCCCATGGAACAGTGGTACGCGAATAAATCCTTTCTTCAATCAATTACATCTCCTCGTACTACGATACTCTGTCAGTTCTCTCATCGTACAGAATTGAATATACATATTTCCATATGAACAAATTCGCGAATCATTGCAACTGCACATAGAATTTGGATTATTATTGGAAATTTATTTTAATTTTTATTTATTTAGGATTCATATTATTGGAAAAATCGATTATGTATGTATTGTTCCTTACAGATTATCAGGATCCATATGCTGTTGTGGTTTTACTACAAAACGACTTGGTTGTGATAGATTTATTAACATCCGGATTTCCGTGTTTTGAAAATCCGTATCCGATGGACATACACGAATCGCCGGTGACGTGCTGCGCGTACTTCGCGGACTGTCCCTCGGATCTAGTGCCAGCTTTTTACTCAGTAGGATCCAAGTCCCAAAAAAAAACAGGGTTCAGTGAAAGGGATTGGCCGATATCCGGCGGCGAGTGGAGCTCAAGTTCTAGCAGTTACAATGAAATTATTTTGACCGGGTGAGTACTTAAGCTCCAAATAATTTATAGAAAATCGAAAATATAAAGAAATGTATGAACGTGTGAAAAATATTGAAATCTGGATGCACATCGAAAATGCTTAAATGACAAAAACAATTTCTATCTAAAATCTATTTGTTAAACTGTTTTATTTTGTATTAAAATCCTGCTGAATATCGTCGACGCGAGAACTGAAGGAAGAAAGTGAATAAGTTATAATTTTAATATCTTTAGTCACGCTGATGGCAGTATAAAGTTTTGGGATGCGTCGGCGGGCACGTTACAAGTTCTTTATAAATTGAAGACGGCAAAACTTTTCGAGAAAGGTAGAACGCGTAGTATAGACTCGGAGGAAGACCCATTAGCGATACAGCTCATCTTCCTTTGTCCCGAAAGTCGGAAATTAGCGATCGCCGGAAGCGGAAGACACGTTGTTTTATTTAAATTCAAAAAAGTTGAGAGCATGTCGGAAATAATGGTAAGTAACTGCACTTTCATAAAAGCGTGCATAAGCGAAGTTATTGGAAATATAGTTTTTAAACAACGAGTTTCGAGAATATCTAATTATTTATTGCAAAAATTTAAACGAGACATCTTTAATACGTAATTTTGTTTCGTCGAGCTTTTGATTAAATTATTGTAATTATAGCATTGTTTAAATTCAATTCTGTGGTAATTAATAATTATCTATAGATCGCTGAAAAGGGTTTATCAACTTATCTTTCTTAATCAGACTTTTATATTGTGAATTGCATATTTATTTAAAGAACATTTATAGTATAGATATTAATGTCAATGTGTAATGGTTGTTAATTAAGTTAGCGATATTGATCACTGACGTTTACTACAGACATTGGAGGTATCGCTATCGGGTGAGTCTGGGAAAGAAGTCGAGAGCTCATCCGATCATGATTCTCCAGCTGGTAACACGTCGGGAACTGGCGAATCAAAAAATAACGAGACGAATCAGTCGCTTACAGTTAAGACCGGTTTACACAAAAGGGCTGCAGGTTTTCAGGCAACCTTGATCTGCCTGACCGTAGCCCCTACTGGAGAACAAGCTGAAAATATAACTGCTCTCAGCTTAAACTCCTCTTATGGTCTGTAAGTATTTCAATTGATTGGAGGAATTTTATTTACAAAAGTATATGTTCATGTGAGAGCAAAGATTCATTTTGAAATGTTCAGGAAAACATTTGTCCCGTTCATACGATCTTCATTTATAAAGGAAAATATTTGTTCAAATCTTGATTTATTTTACTGATTCGACCTTAATATGGAATCCTTCTTGCTATTGTGTCACAGCTTTAGAAATCAAGAATTAATTTACTGTGTTTTAAGCAGGAACGATTTGAATTCGAATTTCAGGATGGCTTACGGGAACGAGACCGGTATAGTGATAATTGATATTGTGCAGAAGATATCATTAATTGTGTTGAACACGGCGGACATCGGTGGTAACATCGACCCGTGTCAACGTGTGCTACGCAGCCCGAAACGTCAGGACGATTCGAAACGGGACAACGACGACAAAGCAAGGAGTCCAAGCGCAGATCAGGTAAAATGTATTTCTTTTTTGGTTCAAAGCTACTCTAAGTATCTTAATTGTTACCTCTCATTCTCTTTAATCACGCCCACGCGATGAAACATCTTGAAAATTTTATACCTAAATACATATCTATATATACATATATATATACATATTTGCATTTCGCTTCTTCCTAGACATTAAAATTAATGGTCTTCATTATTGCATGATTGTAAATGAAACATACATGATTTGAATGTTCGGTCGTTTTTTTCAACTAAATTTGTGATTACGAATTTCCGTTTATCTTTGTAAATATGACCAAAAACTTCAGTTCTCAAACTAACTTTTAGACACGTAAGAGCTGTGATTTAAAAGACTAGATCTCGTTGTATGGCCGTAGGTCGTCCGATAAAGCTTCTTAAGAACTAACATTAACTAATATCGTTACGCTTTTCTAAGGATATTTTATATGATACGAGTTATAAACGATTACCAATAAAACTAACAATTAACAATCTGCCGAAACACCTGAGAATAAACTGGATAATAATTATTCGACCAAATAAAAATAACGTAGACGAGACATCGTGACGAGCGTTTTTTCTATTAAAAACGTCTGCACCCTGTAAAATATACTACAAATCTAAATATTCATATTACATAAACGATTGCATCTTAAAGTTTATGTTTCGTTCGATTCGTTTTGTTTTATTGGACTTCATGACCGTCATGCGTTATTTTAATTCACAAAATGCTTAAAAGTGAACTAACATTTAGATTAGAAGTTCTAATAGTTAAGTAAGTATACAACTATTTGATTATTTTTCCAAATTCCAAGCAG